TTTTTTTTTTTTTTTGGTTTTCAGTTGATTTGATGAAGCCTGGAAATACTGTTATCATCAGAAACGCAAAAATTGACATGTACAAGGGGAACATGAGGCTGGCTGTTGACAAGTGGGGCCGCATTGAGGTCACCGAACCCGCTACATTTGTCGTGAATGAAGACAACAATCTCTCTCTTGTTGACTACGAGCTGGTAAATGTGGGGGAGTAAATGTTTCTTTTTCTCATTGGCTTCTAGGTATGAACATATGAAATCTAGGGTTTTTGGTTTTCAATTCATTCGCATGTCTATGTATTTGCCGTGGTTATCTTGATGGTTAAGTGCTAAGAACTCATATCGGATCAAATTTGTGGGTTAAGTTAAGTTTATGGGATTCGGCAGGGAAAGCTTTTTTGACTTCTGGCAGATTGTAGGAAGAAAAAAAGAAACTTGCTTATTATCAATGGTGAAAGCTTCTTAGGAATTGCGCGGTCGTTTTATTTTACGCATTGGTGGCCTTTTTTTTCCTTATGAAAACAAAAACGATAACTGTAGCGTTCAGGGAAAGAGAATGAAACTGATGACTAACGATGGCATAAGGAGTGATTGTTTCATTGTTGAGCCTTTAACCTTTGTTTATTGGTTTGGTTTAGTTATTAATTAGGTCCTGGCATCTGCTTGGATCAAATAAAAGTTAGTCACATCAAAACTCAAAAGTAGCTATAACACTATGTGGTAATTGATTTTATATTTATATGCGAAAGAAAAAAGCACATATAAAGAGAATAGTAATTTTATCTGTATTATGATAGTTATTTAGTTTTTAATCTGTTTGGTAAGTGTAAAATTTGAAATTAATAGTGATTGTTTTCATCTGTTTTGGAAATTATAGGGAATGTTTGCATACAAGAATTTTACAAAAAAAATAAAAATAAAAATAAAATAAAATAAATAAAATAAAAAATAAAAAATCTAACATTTTAATCCAACCATTTTTTTAACTCAACTTTACTATCATCAATATTATCAAAATAATTAAATAATATTAATCTATCATTTATACATACTAACCTTAATTCATTATTCATCCATTCACATTATTTTAATTAATAATCACTTCAAATTTATCTCTCTTCTACTTTTACATCAAATCAATTTTAATCATTTTATTTTAAATATTATTTTAATATACCCACTAACAATGAATCATACCACATTTTTCAAAATTAATCACCCCGAATAAAAAAATCTAACACCACCAAAAATTTAACTTTTGGCTTCGTTTGATAATAAGTTTTAACTTTTAACGGAATGAACTAAAATTGATCAACGAACCAAAAATTAAGTTTTTTTTTTTTTTTTTCCAAACGGCAAATATAATAAACTTCAAAATTCAAATGAATACAACCGACGTGTTAAATGACACACTGCAACCAAAAAAATCTGGACCAACTCCCCTTTGAATTACACAGGTGACTAAGGAGGTATAAACTCCATGTAGAAGACAACACCCGCGATAACAACACTCTGAAATTGAGTCACTAACTCCATATAGGAGACCGCGATAACAACACTCTGAAATTGAGTCACTAACTCCATATAGGAGACCGAAACCAGACAGCGGACTAAACAAACCAAAAAACAATAAAAAGAAAAATAAATGGTACACACCTAAATAACAGACTAATACTTCCCTTACACCTAGCAAACAGACCGCAAAACCATCCAAACTGGTACTCAGGACACACAACTCGGCCCAAAAGTACAACGAAACTTCTAACCTAAACTCCAGACCCAAAAACTCAATCAGCTCTTAGCCTCTAACCGCCTTGACAGATCTGGCGAGGAGGCAATTCTCGATCAAAATCTGGACTTCGAAGATCTTCAACACCGGGTGAGGAGGGCGCCACAACAACTCCGACTATCAACATCGGAGGGCTCGAAAACACGATCCAAGAATGGGATGAGACTGAACACCGCCAACCGGGCATCACCACTTGGACTCGCAACTGAAGGCCAAGAGCCAAAGCGCCACTAAGCCCCGAAAGATCCCACCTGCAAAAAATCAGACGAAACAAAGAAAAGGCGGGCATCCCCCGACCAGATCACGACAAGGGATTGAGAGACCCGACAATGTCACCGAAATCAGCCAGGAAAGGGGCGACGAGACAAAAGATGCCCCAGGCCCCCTCCCACGCAAGGCTGCCGGTGAACGGGCCAGGCTACTCCTTTCTCGACACGGGCTAGACACAGAGGAGGTGGACAGAGGCTGCAGCTGTCGGTGAGTGCAGGAAGGGCCGCGACGGAACGAGTTTTTCTTTGATAAAAAAGAGGAGATTTGATGAGAGAGAAAATTCTAGGGGAGGTTTTTTTTAACAAATAGGTGATTTACATTGACTTTACCTCCGAACCAAAAGTTAAGTGTCAAATTGGTTAGGTTGGAAAATGGGGCACCAAAATGCAAAACATGTAAAATTAGAGAGTGAAGAAAAGAATTTTCACGGTTTTTTGTGTTTCCATCATAGCATGGTTGACAAACATCTTACATACTTTTTCAGTTTCCATTGGGATTTGAAGAAAATGGCCTTGTATAAATCGGATTTACGACTCGTACTCTTGAAGAGATTTTTAACTTTCAAGCATCGCCTGTTAATTAAGTTATATATAATTAGATGTTAAGTAAAACGACAAGCATATAGATTAATATATAAAAATTCATTAAAAAAAAA